CCAAAGTCACTCTGTAAAATACCCTGAAATCCATGTTCCTCCACAATTAAAACAAAAGACCACTATAGAGAGAGTGAAAGACAGAAAGACAGTGATGAGTTGGGCAATATTTTACTGATATATCTACAGAATTGAAGCAATTTGAAAGCCTACCAGTGTCTCCAGATCATAATAAAATGAATTCTAAATACCTATATGTTTTCCTGTTTGCTTTTGGTTTTCTAGCCATAGAGCAGTTAGAGCTCCCTGTGACCCCTTCACTAACCAGGATGTGGGAACAGCTGCCCTTGCATCCACAGCTCCTACCAGGAGGTCTTATCCTGTCTGGCAGCTGGCCACACAGGGTGTGCTAGGGGGATGTGGGGTGTGCTGGAGTGGGGTGGGAAGACAGTGGGGGGATGTGGGTGGCTGTGGAGGGATGTGGGGGCCATGGGGTGTGTGGATAGGTGTGGGATGATAGTAGAGGGACTGTGCAGGGGGGCTGCTCAAGAGGGGTGGGTCCCCTGCCCCCCGCAGGGTGCAGCCCCCCTGCACAGCACGGGGCAGCGGGCCCCCCTGATTGCTCCCCCACCAGGCTTCACCCCTGATGCCCCCCACACCTGGCCCCAGCAGTTCAGGACTAAAAAATAAATAAAAATCCCGGCACTCACTGGCAGTATCTGGGGTCACTGAGGCCTTGTGGCAGACCCCACCATGCAGCATGGGCCAGAGGGGGGCAGTGGGGCTTGGCTCCAGCTACCTCGCACCCACACTGCCACTTCCCCATTGTGCAGGTGCAGCCAGGGCTGGCGGGGTTCTGCTCAGCTCCGCATGCTGTTGGGCAGCTGGGGCTGCTGTGGCTGTCACCCGGGCCCCATGCTGTGCACGGGTGGAGGCTCTGCCACAAGGCCCCAGTGACCCCGATGGCAGCTGCTACTGCTGGTGAGTGCAAGGCTTTTTTTTTTTATTGCCAGGATTGTGGGGCTGAGTAGGGTTAATTGCCAGGATGCTGGGGCTGCCCTGCCCAGCCCCAGCCCCTGCCTGCCCGCCCCAGCTCTAGGTAGCTGCTACCAGCCACAGAACCCAGGCTGATCCCAGCAGGAAGCTGGGACACTGCAAGCCCTTCTGGGAGCAGCCCAGGGTCCAGCAGCTACCCAGAGCTGGGGTAGCTGCTGAAAGCCACAGACTCCGGGCTGGGGGGCAGTGTCTTTGGGTGGGGGTCAAGGGGCACAAGCAGGACATCCTGCCATGTACCCCCTGTCCTCATTTTGTTTTTCTGACATGCTGGCACTTTGGCACCTTCCAAAGTAGGCATTGAGGTATTTTTCGGCACTTCAGCCAAAAAACATTGCCTACCCCTGCCTTACAGCATGGCATACTGAAGAAGCTACTGCTTAGCTGAGCAGGTAAGTGGAGCCACATTTCAAATAATCACTCTCAGTCAGGTCTTGCACCTATCTAACTGTTGTTATCCTCACAAGATCTCCCAGTTAGCCCCATTCCATATAAGGGAGAGAGCTGTCCTCCCCAGCTGAAGTTAAATCGATAGGCTGCCCAGACTCCAGCTCAGAGTGGTTTGCAAGCATTCCCACTTTCTCTTCACTTCAGCTAGCTTACCTCAGCAAGAGGTTTCCTAGTCTGTCTACTCACTGGGTTAGGTATTTTGAGTTTTGTTTGGGGGGGGAGGAAAATGTGGTCACCCTAAGCAAGATAGGGTCCTGCTCTGTTTGGTAACATTCTTTTGAAATATTTAAGCATCAGTACAGTCATGAACCACAATACCTGGGAATTAATTATTGTAACATACTGCTTTTTTCTTGTCAATGGTGATTTAAGAACATTAATGGCACATCTATACAAAGGCATCCCCCGTTAGAAAAACATGTACTAGCTCCAGAATCAGAAACTGTGCAGCTGCAGTAGTGCCAATAAATACTGCCGCTTAGCAGGATCCTACTACACACACCACTGCTGCTTCCAGTTCTGGAGGTACTGTGTGCAGAGTTAGTGCAGGATGGCCCTGCACAGTAGTGCCTTATGTCTAGGGATCCTGGTTTTCTCTGATTTAAAAAAATCCCCAATTTTCAGTTTAAAAAGTAACATAAAATCCACATTTTTCATGATTAAAATGAAACACCACTAATAGATAGGTATATAGAGGTGTTTCATTTCAATCATGGAAAAATGTGGATTTGGGGTTACTTTTTTTAAACTGAAAATTGGGGAATTTTTTTTTATCAGAGAAAACCAGTATCCGTGCTTATGTCATACAGACATATCCAAAAAAAGGCTTATTTTTCCACTGTTTATATCATTATACCCAGAAGCTCTAACTGCTTGCTCTCCAGTGTAATTTACACATGTAAGTTAGGCTTAACTCTTTCAAAATCCATACACTACACTGCCAGAAAGTTAGGTCAAGAAAAAGATTGGGTGCTAGGCATCTGCAATAATAAAGCTGTGAGACTGATAGACTCCATCTGGCCAGTGAGCCTACTTTTGTCAATTAAAAAAAGAAATCAAGCTTTCAAACTAATGGAGAGTTTAATTACCACTTCAGGCTCCCTCTTGCTTCTTCTAGACTGGACTTTATGCTAGTCATTGGATTTAAGGAATGTGGTATGTCAAGGATGGAGTGTCATGCCAAATGAGAAATGTCATGAGAGAACAGAGTGTAATAGCAGCCCACAATCAATTTAGAGACTAGCAACTTGGCAATGTGCTAGCTCCCATTATTTAAAGGAAAGTTAGATATATAGCCTCTTTCGCCTCCCAAGTGTGAAGGAGATAGATGAAGGGCAGTAAGTAGTAAAGAACATGTTTTCTTAATTGTGCTGTGGGTTTCCTTTCTTATGGGTCCCTTGCCAATGTACTCCAAGTAAAACGGATTACATGTGATCTGACGTGATGTGCAGATGTTTTTTTCATGGAGCAGTGGTACGCACACATCTCTTCATATCTGGCACATATGTATTTGATATTGCATAGGTTATACTGCCAGCTGCAACCAGATTTTTGAGAGAACCACTCCAATGTTAGTGCAAAAGAAGAGACAGAGCAGTCTTATCTGCATGAGAAAATTTTTGGCATTGTAGCCACTGTTGTGACGCCTCCCACAAGTTTAACCCACATGCTACACACCCACACACAAAAATGCTGCCAGTGGTGCAGAGGCATTTCCATCACCATCGGGAGTACATTTGCTGTGACCAAGGCTAACCACCATGCCATCCACCATACAGCAATCTACTTCCAAGCAACCTAGTCTAGACAGCATGTGTTGACAGAAACAGAGACAATAGTTCCATATATTAGAAAGGCTTCACAACATTTTTAACAGGCATTTTATAACAAAACAAGAGCTTTCAAATTAATATTGTGTTACTGTGCATTTTATTTGAAAGCTTTTATATTTAAAGACAAAAAACATGAGTGAGATCAAAGGTAGAAAGTTTAGTGCAAAGGCCCTTCAAGCTAGTTCCCTAAAAGGAGCTTCCAGTCATCGCTCTCTAGTTGCTATTACCTCGCTTGTGTAGCTGGCATAGAAGAAACTCCTGAACACCAGAGACCTGAAAGAAAAAAAAAAGAATAAAATAAAGACATATAGGTGTAAAAGCCCAGCAGCCTTGCCTAATACAATCTCTGGGTTAGCAAAGAGCAAGCTGGCTTTACAATAAGTCAGTCAGTCAGAGGATGCAGTGAGTTCTTATCAGGCTCCAAGGCTCTGCTCATGAAAATGCACTGTGTTAGTGTGTCCTTTTGGTATTTTATACCAGGTGGAAGAGGAAGAAGAACTGTTTGCTGCTCAAGGTGCTGCTCTGGCTACCCAGGCATCCCCCACTTACCATCTGGTGTCTCTGCAGCCTCCACTCCTCTCCCCCCACCCCTCCAGCTGCACGGTAGAGACCCTGAGAGCAACTCTGCCACAGATGGGGTAGAGGTGAGTGGGGGAACTGGCTCCGGGTACAGGGGTCCTCAAGGGGGACCTTTTCAGCCCTCACGCTTGCCCTCAAGAGCCCAGTGGCTGGATCCTAGTGGGAGCAAAGACGGAAAGAACCTGCTGGTGCCTCTGCCAGACTGGGGAGAGCCAGCAGGAGTGGGCACTGCAGTGCACAGCCCAAGGGAGCAGTTTACTTTCTCAAGTGCTGCCACCCATGTGCAGCCGTGCTCATCGCGGTACAGGCCTGGGCACCAGGCCCACAGCCGCTGGGGCAGAGAAGGAGCAGTATCCTCCATCTGCCCTCTGCAGCAGTGCAAGATGGAGGATCTACTCCCACACCCACATGCTCAGTTCCCCAGCAAAGGCAGAAGCAGCCCAGCCCGCAGACAGTACCACCAGGGTCAGCCAGAGGGCCAGCAAGCAGGAGCTGGAGCCATTGCAGTGTGTATGAGGTAGCTGGGAGGCACTGAGTGGGGCAGGGATCTAAAGCAATTGGGTTAAGCAAAAACAGCCCCAGTCCCATAGGCACTGCAAGGCAGCTGGTGAGTGGAGGTCATTGCTCTATATCACTCATAGTGCAGCATGTAGCAGCTGGGCCAGTAGTGGTTTTCACTGCTGTCATACCCACAGGAGGCTCATCATCCATGATGCACTTGCCTAGCCTTGCTGCCCCATGCTAACACTATGCCTATGCAGACCTCTGTCTCTCTCCAAGCTGGGACCTTGCTCCTGAATGTACAGCACAGGCAGCAGGTTGCGTGCTGTTGCTGGAGCTTCCTCCTGGAATGAGCTCTGATGTCCCCCGCTCCCAGCTGCTGAAGCCAGTTGCAGCTAGACTCAGTGTCTCCATGTTACGTTAGCAAAGGCAGAGCTGCTAATGGCAGATGATGCTTCTTCAAAACTGAGCTTCAGTTTCTATAAGAAAAAAAAAAGCCCCAGTGCAATGTTTTAATGTAAAGCACCTGGTGGCAGAAGGGGATGCTTTATAACTGACCACAGCACCCAGGAAAGAATGTATTACCCACATTGAAACAGTGTGAAGAGGTGTGTTTTCCTTTTGAAAGGAAGCTTAGAAGCCCTCTTAAATTAAGTCTTTAGGAAACACATGCTCTTTCAAGGCACCTACTTTAGGCCACAATTCAGTAAAGGAAATATTTGCCCCTGCTCTGACTTCAGTAAGGCTCTCTGGAGGAGAAGTGATTTTCCCAAATGAGTCTTCCTGTTTGAGAGGGGTCACGAGCCATTTGAATCGTGGTAAGGACATTGTATATAACATATTTGCTTTTCATTTTCTTCTGTGTCACCAGTTTACTTGTATTTAGAATGGTTTTTATTGTGCTGGGCTGCAGAGCTGTTAGCTGCTGATGTTTGAATTCCCTGTAATGCTTAATTGAGCAGTGTTTCCTCTTGAATTTGCAGGCCTTCTCCTGGCCCTCACCGAGCTAGTGATCTACCTGACCAGGAAGTAGGCTCTGGATGGTGGGATCCCTGGGGATTAGGATGCTGTTTGTCTGTCCCTCATCCATTCATGTCTCTTGACAGAGTTTCACTGGGCAGCTTCCACTGGCTCCTTGGACTCGTGTACTCTGCCCAGTGTCCCTCGTGGACACTCATTTTTAACCTATGACTTTCAGTCCCATCCCTGTTTTGTTCTTTCATTGTCCCAAGTAATCAGTTTGTACATATCCAATAGCCCCCTGTATTAACAGAGGGCTGGGGGACTAACTGTTGCTCTGTGGGCCTAAGGCCCATAACCCGACAGTGGGTCAAATAGGCCTGTTGAATTTGCCGACCGTCTTCTGGCCCTAGCCAAGCTAGAGATTTATCTGACCAAGAAGGAAGCTCTGGCTGGGAGGGCCCCTGGAGACCATGGGGCTGTTTTCCTATCCCTTGTATATTCACATCTCCAGGCAGAGTCTCATGGGCAGTGTCCACTGGCTTCTTGGACTTGTTTGAGGGCCAGTGGGCACTGTCCGGTGTACTCTGCTCAGTGTCCCCCATTGGTGTATTCATTTTGAACCTCTGACTCTCATTCCTGTCCATTTTCTTCTTTAGTTGTCCCCCATAATTGCTTACATGCACATAAAGATCCCCTGCAGATTAAGGGAGGCTTTTAGCTTTACATGGTGGGCAGAGGCCCACACTTCCTATTTACATCAAATTGGCCTGTTGAATTTGCAAACCACACCTGACGAGACAAAACCTTGGTCTCTTTGAGAATAAGTCTGTCACAGACTCTGATATGATAACCCAAGTGTGCTGGTACTTCATCACCAAACTTCTGGTGTTTGAAACAGGTTCGCTAGTGTAGCTTCACCATTGCTTTTTGCATCTGAATAGTCTGACTCTTAATTCTCTAGCAAGGATTCAGCTAAAGACTATAGAACTGATCCTTTTTCTGACAGTGTCAATACCTGAGCTAGGGCTGCTCTTTCTCCCATGACATTGTAATCATAACTTTCAAATATAACAGCTGTATCTTTTCTGACAATTAAGTTTTGGGAGTGGCTGTTAAAAAAAAAAGTAGGATTGGCAAACTGGTCAACTGACTGGTCAAATTTTTTTACTGATCAAAGATTATAGCAATTTTATGGAGAGTGAACATTTTTTGCAGTTTTCTTGACAGAAATATGATTTTTTTTACACATTTCTTAATGTAAAGATTGTGCCTTTTCTGTGTATTATTTGACCATATTGGCAATTGTTTACAATTTTTGACCAATATTTGACCGGTCAATTGACCAAATTTTATTTGACCAGTCAAACACCCAACCCTAAAAAAAGTGTTCACCAGACATGCTGCCTGCCTTGCTTGAGTATATCATAGATGTTATCTGTTTCTTAGTCCTGACTCCTCTTTTGGCCACCAGGACAAAGGACATAGGTTTCACTGGGAACTGAGATGAGAGATTGGTCAGGATGGCAGGCAGCCAGCAGCAAGAAAGCAAGTGGCAGGGCTAGCTTGTTCTCAGCTGGGGATACGGCCAGGGGCTAAAGAGCTCAAGGTGTGTTGTACATAGTTATGAAACTATTATATCTTTGTTTTCTGTGTAACATTATATTACTAAGAATTTGGCCTGCTTGATGAGACAGTGGTAGTTTTGTTCTCAGAATTGCTTGTAGCCCAGAGGTGTCATATTCCTTTGGTTCAGAGGGTTGAATTCCATGTTAAATTACGGTCCATGGGTCATGGTATAAAGATAGGAGTGCATACTCCAGCACAACAATCTCCTACTGATGTCACTGGGAGGTTCAGAGAGAGATTTGCAACACTTTGCATAGGAAAATATTCTCCTCTGGGAGGTTTACTGCTATCTTCCCTGTGCCTTACTTTCCATGCAACAACTCTGATTTCTACCTCCCTGTGGACTGCCATTCCCCACTACACTCTCTAATGCGAGATCAGCACTAAAACAGCACTGAAACTGAAATGCCATCATTGGATTTTTGTGCTAACAGCCAATGAAATTTATAAGTCACAGGAGATTCCTGCTTTCTGTCCACATTTCATACTGTCTGCAGACTCGGGCAGATGTGTTAGATCTATTAGGCAGCTCAGTTCATATTTGGAAACTTATTTTCAGTCAGGAGGGTTAGAGGCTTGCTTAAAAATGGAAGCAGAGCTTCTGGGCAATGTGTGTTACAGAGATATCAAGTGGGCTGAATCTGGCCTGCTCTAGGCTGTACAGAGGAGAAGCACATGCTTTTCTCCTAGGGACTTGGCTTGTCTTTCTTCCTGTTTTCCTTAAACTAACACTAAAAGTCATTCAGACCAAATACACTGGTACAGAAAGCTACAGTGGGAGAGGACCTGTTTGAGGAAGAGATAGGAGCTATAGTGGGGAGGAATATGGGAAAACTATGAGGGGAAGAAGGATATAGGCTGACATGAATAGCCCAGTTAATATTCACACTGTGCTTAAAATTAATATTGAGACCTAAAGCATGTTGACTTCAATTCTTTAGTAAAGAGAGAACACTACTTTAGAAGTAGAGACTTGAATTAGTGCTTCCATAAATTAATATCTATTTGCTCCTTTAATCTCATTCTCAGTACCCCTTATGTGGAATATGGATGTTTTATGAAGATGCTCATATTTGAAAATTGATTTTCTCTTTTTTTGCAAATGAGCAAAACACTGCTTGTAAAGGTAGTAAATGGACACAGGTGGGACCATATAGCTAAGTGCCTCCACATGGAGCATAGGTGCAAGATCTCCAATTCCTGTTATCTTTTTAGCAGTTTGAATCATTCACTGCTAGTCCTCAACTCCAGCCATTGTGCTATGAAGATGTGCAGTGGGATTTTTTTCTTTGATGGTACAATGAAGTCATAATGGATCACTGTGAAGTCAGTGGTATATGGTATAGTCCTGAACTGCAAAGTAGCTAACAGTTTGCAGCGGGGGAGTGAGAGGAGAAACAAGAGCTGCTAAAGGTAACCTACTTCAGCAATGCCATGAATTGAATAGTATGCATGCAAAAGGCAGGCTTGCATTATTCACCCCACTACCAAATTGGCTAAGTATCTTTGGTATGGTGTCTTTTGTAGGTTGTGGGCTATGAACACTCATGCCCCTCTAGGTTTAGCTTCCAGGGCCAAGTACAGACATTCAAGAAGCCCATGGCAGAAATGCTCTAACTTTTGAGCTTTACTCTAAGTACCCATAATTAGGTGGGAGGAAGCCCATGCTTAGGTTGCTAGGGAGATTTCCCATTTCCTGCTGCGCCTTACCTGTAGTGATGTTCATTTGGAGCTGCTTGGCCAAATGGTGCCTGAAGGATTGCCAGAGAAAACACGTAGTTTCACTTGTTTGTTACATCTTGGCTGTGGGACTCAAAAGAAGCTTTCAGTGTATATTTGGGTCTTTTTGGGTCTGTTAGGGTTTGTGTTAGGTGGATCCAGGTAAACACAATGGCCTCTATCAGAAAAGCCACACAAACTTTAGGGACGGGGCAGCCAGTTCTCAGTTCCTTTGCTTTATGGACCCACTCAATGTAATGCAAACTGATAAGCAGGGATCCTGGTTTTCTCTGATAAAAAAAAAAAAAAAAAATCCCCAATTTTTTTAATTAAAAAAGTAACCCCAAATCCACATTTTTCTGTGATTAAAATGAAACACCACTAATATATAGAGATATATTAGTGGTGTTTCATTTTAATAAACATGGGAAAATGTGGATTTTGGGTTACTTTTTTAAGTCTGAAAATTGGGGATTTTTTTTAATCAGAGAAAACCAGGATCCCTGCTGATAAGTCCCCCAAAATAGTAGGGGGGAACACTGAGCCTGGTGCCTCACCTTTGATCCAGGCCTGTGGCACAGGGGTTGGGGGGAGGTGGGGGTTGAGAGGCACAATAAATCATTATCATCAACCTTCCACATGAACAATCATTGAGCCAAGAGCACGCTGAATATCAGACTAAGCAACCACAGCCTTCCCCGTGAGCAGACCCCAACCTACTAAGGAGTCACAAGACTATTCCCTCACCTATAAACATCACATTCAGAAGGCCAGCAGTACAGTTTCTACATGAGTGATATTTAGCCAACACGACATGGTGTGCCAACTTCAGATGGCTTAGAATCATCGTGCCTGCAATGGTATACACCCCATCAGATTGCTGTGCTTCTGTATGGTCCAGAAATGTTTGCATTAAAAAACTAGACACTGTACATATAGGTGTACATTGAGTCATAAGAGGCTGCACAATTTACACATAGATGTATTCCCTGCGCTCTTGGGCATTAGACCAAGTGACATAAGAAGACAGACCCTAACTGCTCCCCTGCTGCCAGGTTTTGGGCCTGTGGAGAACCTGGCAGGCTGGGTATTGTGGCCTTGTGTGTTCCGCTAAACTTAGATAGGTAAATGGAAATAAAATGGTTGTTCAGAATAATCCAACCTGACATCTTTTTCTGCAGTATTTTATACCCACACCAAACAAGTCCCCCATTGGGCATAACCTTGACAGAGACATATAGGTTAAGCTGAAAAGACTGAGATCTGGATATGGACACTTCAAAACAACACTGTACAAAATAGACACCTTGAGCAGCCCCCTGTGTGAATGCAGTGTCCAGCAAACAGCACAGCATTTCATCAGAAGTTGCAATCCTTACAAATGCCCAGATGGGGTAGATGAAATCTGCACACTGCATGATGATACTAGACAGTGGCTCATAACTGGCCAGAGGGAACAAGGGGGAGGGGGAGGGGTTGGAAACAGGGGCTTTGCCTCCTCAGGTCACTGAGAGCCCAGGTATGGGACTGGCCCAGGGCTCAGGCAGAGGAGATGAGCTCTGACGTAGGCTAGGCTGCCGCCCCATGAAGGTGGTGAGCAGTGTGCCGCAATACTCCAAGGGATGTTGCCAGAATGCAAGGTACTGTGAGTAGCGATAGAATGTGGTACAGATGTAATACAGATGTGGTTACAGCACTCTAACCTACAGCACTGAAACTTATACCACATCCATCCAGGTTTATCTTACAGGAGGATCTGCCATTTTTACAGCGCTCTTATGTGCCATTGCTGTCTGTTCAGTTATGGCTGCAGAGTGCTTTCTGTGCACTTACTACACAGTAAGTGTAACTTCTGTACCTGGCCTCAGATGTTATCTTGCTTACCTTCTGCCTGACTGTGTGGAAAGAAGTCTGCATTTAAGACCTTGCTGTCACTGATAGGTAATTTAAGCCCAGTTCATTTCTGTTTCAAAGAGCTGATTTCTAAATGTTAGTTCTGTTGGCAAATTTAGGTGGACATTTCTTTTTTTCCTTATCTGTAGGGATCCTGGTTTTCTCTGATATTCATCTTAATCAAGGACAAATGTGGATTTTGGGTTACTGTTTTAATCTGAAAATTGGGGATTTTTTTTTTTAAATCAGAGAAAACCAGGATCCCTGTATGATGGCTCAGAAGATCCCTTCAAACTCAATCATGGCTTTATTTCCCTTGTCTTCTGTGCTTTCCACTCTTTCTTCCCACCTTATTCCCCTACCTTCCTTTGTCTTTCTGTTTAGCTAACAGAAATCCCACCCTAAAATAAAAGAAAACATTGCTCCTTTAGAAAAAATTTAAACTAACATATGCATTTGGCTTATATAATCTGTTTCCTTCACCCATTGTCTGTTTTATTTACTTTAATTGTAAGGTCCTTGGGGCAGCAACTATTACTCCATGTACACAGTGTATGGAAGAGTAGCATCCTGTTTTTGATTGGCCCCTTGGCAATACTATAATGCATTTTCATAAAGTTATTTATTCATGTGCTTGGCTACCTTTTACAGTATAAATGCTGTTCAAAATTACCTTGTGCTTTTAGCAGTTATATCTGTTCCTGTGGCTTGTAAAAAGGTAACCATAACAGACTTATTTTTTAAAGGATTTATCCATTCTAGGCCACGAGGGTACAATGTGGTAATAAGTGTCTAATATTCTACCAGGATACACTAAAATACTGAGGGCCAAATGTGTAAAGTGGTGGCTGAGAAATGATTTGCTGGCCAGAGAGCATCTTTCAGCAGTCCCCAACAATGAATCATCTAAGTGGTTCTGGGTAGGTATTAAAGAAACTTCCATACTAATATAGCTGTTGTATTTGGTACTTATCAGTAGTGCATGAAAGTCCTAGTCCATGTGGTGTGTCAATGTTTAAGCATCTACATGGCTATTAAGTATGTTTAGCAGACTTTGTTCTGGCTGGGAATGGGGGAGCACAAGTCACAAAACTGGACATGGCAAAAACCACATGGCTTAGTGGCTATGAGACACCAGAAGAGAACAACTCTCCCACGTCTGTTAGAGAAGGGCCCTTAGTGTTTTAGTCCAGTAGTATAGTGGTTACAGTACTTGCCCAGGGAGCAAGAGTCTGAGACTCCTGCACTCAAAAGGGGTTTGAACCTACATTTCTCTAACTCCCCAGCATAGTTCTCAAGCTGCCAGGCTACAAGTGAGTCATTATCAATATGATTGCCAGTCACTGGCTCTCTGGGCAGCAAAGAGCAGGAGATGGTTGGGCCAAGAGAAAAAGAGCAAGCTGAAGGGTAGGTGGCATACTGGCTTCTAGCAGAGGCCCTTGTTTCAATAGAGCAGAAATGATCCTACTGCTCTCCATCCATTTTATCCAATTAATGTTGCAGGTGCCATTGCTAAACTTCAAGAGGAACTCTGGATAAAGCCACACCTGTGGCCCAGTGGCTGGAGCACTATGCTGGAAAGTCAGAACTGTAGTTTTAAATCTCTTCCAGGTGAGTGGGATCTAGAACTTCGGTCTCACCCTCCCTGAGCATGTGCTGTAGCCAGTAAGCTACTGAGCCAAAACCTGGCAGTAAAGGGGATCCTTTGCCTGGATTTTGCCAAGCCACTGTTTTTGGTTTTAAGCTAAGGTATGCATATACAGAACTGCATACCTGCCTAGGAAGAGCACAGCCTACTAAAAATGCTCAATAGCTATGTGAATACTCAGGAGTCCACATTGCATATTGGAGCAGGACTGTAAACCATGCTTAAATATAAAAAGGTGACTGGATAACTGTCATTTGGATGTTAAATAGGATTTTGCCGCTCCCATCCAGTCTCAGTCCTGGTGCAGAAAAGGCTTAATATATACCAGGAGGAATAATTTCCCTGATCTAGCTTTCCTGCATCTGGTGCCTTCCCTGCTCCCCTCCCACCCATTGTAACAGCAGTTTTAAGCAAGTTAGAACTGTTGGGGTTACTTTAAATTCCACCATACCACTTGCTCTTAAGGCAATTTATTCTGAATGGGAGTTCACCTAAGAAAGAACTCTAATATGGGCTGAAATGGAATCAGTTCCAAGGAAATGCATCTGGAAGCATACTAAAATCTAAAAGCTTCCCATGCAAGCAGTACAGACTTCTATTCTGCTTGCAGGTCTCCGCCTCCAGCTAAAGGGCACTGAGGCTTTCTGTATTCATTTAACCCTTGGACTGCAGCATTGCTCTCATGAAAACATAAAATCAGCTTCCCTGAATCATACAGTGGTGATGGCGTTCAAATTAAATTCTCATAATAATTTTCATTTTCATGTGTTCCCTTATGGTGGGCGTTTGTGGTTCTTATAGGCGTGTAAGGATTGAATGCAAGAATAAAGGTTTTCTTTTTTTTTAAAGTATTGCAGACTACCATGACAACCAAGATCATTCACACTGATGTTCCTTTTCAAAACTTTGTCCCTAAGTTATCTATATAAAAATAGCCCATTGGTATGGGAAGGCCATAGTAAGCTGTTGACTCTGCCCAGCTGTAGGCAGAATATTTTGAAATTGGGGGCAATTGAGTACTTACTCATTATATAATGGAATGAAGTAATTAATAGCTGCATCAAAAATGACAATGATGGGCAAAGTCAACTTCAGAAGCTAGAGCAATTATATAATCAAGGTTTGGTGCTCTTATGAGTTATTTCTGTTGAGAAGTACCACTTATATACTGTTTTCTTTCTGTATGAGTATTTTTAAAAAAAATAAATACAAGAATTAACAGAAGACTACAGTCGTGAATGCTCTCCTTTCCATATCTTTGATATGTAATTTAGGTTTAATAAATCTGTCTTTTTGCTTTTCTGGATTGTATTCAGTTCTAAAATGAGACATATTTGCTCTTTTTAATCTCATGCATGTGTTTGTTCACCCGGCTTGTGTAGAGGTACAGCCAGTTTATAATTCACACATTGGTAAGTAAGAACCACACGAGATTTGAAAAGTGAAATTCATGTAAGAGAAGACTGTAGTTTTATAACTGATACCAATTAGAATTTCTAGCTAATTAATTGTAAATAGAGAACAAATATGTTTGACAAGGTTCCTTGCTCTTTTATGTGGAGATCACAAAGAGGTATTCTTTTGTGAATGAAGCCCCAAACTAGAATAGGGAACAACTGAGCTCTAGTCCCAGCTTTGAGATGAATTCCTCCAAAGCTTTGGGCAAATTAGAATATTTCTGCCTCAATTTCTCCATGTCTGTTTTGCAGGGCTGTTGCAAAGACAAATGTTCATTCTGTCCATGAAAAGCACAATATATATATAGTGTCTGTGTTGAATACTATTACATTCCACTTTTTTTTAAAGTATTTTACATGCAAAACTCTCCTTTGAAAATGTCTTAATTGAGCATGCTTGATTTCTGCTCCTCTCGAAAGAGCACTGTAGCTTTAAGGGCAATGTTCGATAACCACATCACACCCACATATTTGTCCTCTCTTTACACAGCAAGTACCAAGCAGTGACATCTACTATAGTCTCCAGGACATGCTGGTCTTTGCCACAGAGGAAAAATGCCTGGAGGGGGAGGGGGAAGATAGAGAGCAAGCACAAATCCTGTTATGTTCCAAAAGGATGAGTCACTTCCTAGCAATAATTCTGAGATGCTTATTTATTGCCGTTTTGCTGATATGAAGCTTAACTTCGTTTCTCAGCAGAGTCCCAGGACCCAGCCTTCCCCCTGGCTGTCCATTAATCATGAGGGACTGTTACAAAGTGTACACAGAGTGGGAGTTCTGCCTGCCAGTGGCCTTTAGCTGTCTCCAGTTCAATGCAATTACCTTGTGTGAAGACTTGTTTTATGAGAGATTGGTTTATTTGTAACTAAACTACTTCCTCCGTTATTTGATAAGCTCAAATATTTGCTACTGATAGTCGGAGAGTGTCACATTTATTATCCCATTTCAGGGCATTGCTTAACTCCTTTGAAACAGGCTTCTTTAACCCCTTTGAGGACAGCAGCCAAATGCTAGGAGCACCGATATATTTCTCTCCTTTTGTTATGAAAACTATATTGTAATATAACATTATTTGGGTTTATTCATTTAGGTAATCAAGAATATGTGAGGCACTGGGATCATTTCTGCATTAATATTACAATCAATTTCCATGTTCCTTAAGAAACTAATTACAGTGAGAGGCTATGAGGACATTTATATTATGTAAGTAAAACTCACATTGTTTATTTGCTACTAAAAATCTAAACTAGAATATAAATGGGATGGCATAGATCTTCCTTTTGATACAGCTAGGCTGCTGAAAATTTAATAAAATTAAGAATTGCTCCATTTGAAACACTGAAGGCATCATTGTCCAGTGGATAAAACCTTCATCTCAGTGCCAAAAACCTTGGCTTCTGTTCACTATCTTGCTCCGGCTCAGCTGTCTGATATTGTGCAAATCACTTCATTTGTGATTGATTTTGCCTCAGTTCACCCATCCATCGAACAGAAGTAACTATATGTTTACCTTCCTTTTTTGCAGGACTTTGGAAGCTGTGAATGAAAAAGAACAATATAAGAGATTTTAATGTAGCTCATTTACTTGTAGTGCCAATTGTCTTTGTATGTACTGGAAAAGAGAGTATTATCATTAAATTATTTATGTTACTGTAGCCCTGGGACACCTTAGTTGTAGACCATCATCTCATTGTGGGGCAATGGATGGATACAGCCAGATGAGGGACCACAAGAAAGCAATGACACAGTACTGGTCAGCATGACAGACTCTGGCCTCAGCACATTAGCAGCCTAACTGCTGTCAAGTGCTTTCTAGGCACCACAGAAAGGGAGAGTTTTAAAGAGGGATTTGAAGAACAATGAAGCGGCTTTGTAGATGTTTACAGGGAGTGCCTCCTAGGTGTGGACAGAATCACAAAGGTGCTTGTTTGCAAGTGTAAAGAGTTAGCAGGAGAGGGTGGTGTAGTGGGCTAAGCACAGTTGTGAGTCAATGTCTTGGTTGTGAATGAAATATGATACTTAGGAAGGACATAGAAATTGAACAGGATAGGCAGGAAGAGGATTCCCTGTATTCTCTTCACAAGGGCTAGGGACATCTGTGCATAGTGTGATGCAGGAAGCACAAAGACTTTCCTGCTCTATACCTTCTTAGGGGATACAGTGCAACCCTAATAGGGAAGAGATGTGGCTTGGTAAGTTGGCACTGTCCCAAAGAGATAGATGGCAATACTTTCACCCTCTTCCACGCTAGGATGCTCAGGAAGAGTCTCTAGGTTGCAGCCATGTTGGTCTAAGGACATAGGCAGAAGGTTCTTCAGGTAAATCCAGTATCTTTTATTAGATCAACCAAAGATATTGGACTTACCCGGAGATCCTTGTCCACAGGAAGAGTCTACAACACAAAAAAATACAGTCCCTTCTAATATTTTCCTAGGGACATGCACCATCCCAGTGAAAGGCAATGACTAAACACCACCAAATACTGGACTCTTGGTATGCGAAATGGATATTGTCACAGCAATATAGCTTGTTAGAGTCCTATTAATAGTAATATAAATGGGTTTCATTTTGTTGTTTAGGGTCATTTTTAATATCTGTTAGAAGTGTATTTAGTTGTCACAGTAGTATTTAGTTAATAAAATATATTCTGTGAAAGGTTCAGTTACAAGAAAAAAATATTTTAAAGTTTTATAGTTTAAAGGAAATTTTTGTATTCTAAAACACAGTCAGAATTAGTGTTTAACTCGATCATTTTATTAGGAAAGTGGGAGAGTGTCTTGTTTAAGAACAGGCTAGATTACAGGAGACATTGAGGCTAGAATAAAATGAAAAGGAAACATACCCTTTTTATTTATGATGCAATAATTTACTTAGTATAGTCTCCCTGATCACCTTTAAAGTTTATACAGAACTTTCTAGCCTGGTACACCATGAAATCCGATTGTCAGGTTGCTGAGGGAACAGTATTGTACTTAAAAGTGAAGGATGTTGTCATTTGTTTGAAGGTACAAGCAGGTCACATTATTTATGATTGTCAGAAGCTATAACAGTACAAATCTTGCTCACAGTGCAGTGCATCAAATACAGGGTGGCATTACTGAGACTGTTCATATAAAGGAAGTAACAATACTAGCCTATTGGGAACAGAAAACATTCTTGGTCACAAATACACAGCACCAGGAGATTTGGATTTTGCAAGAAAAAGGTTTAGGAGAAGAAATTGTAGAGAGAGCCTTTTCTTTGTGATGTGCAGGAATCCTGGTTTTCTCTGATTTAAAAAATCCCCAATTTTTGGTTAAAAAAAGGTAACCCCACACTTTTCCATGATTTAAATGAAAAAAATCCACATTTTTCCATGACAAATGAAACGCCGCTATATAGCTAGATAGCTAGATAGACAGATAGATATAGAGCTATATCTATCTATCTAGCTAGCTATCTATAGATCAGTGGTGCTTCATTTAAATCATGGAAAAAATGTAGATTTTTTTTTTTTTTT